AAACACGGACAGTGAGCGCGGAGGAAAAGAAAAGGTTAGAAGCGTTTGAAATGTGGTGTTACAGGCAAATGATGCGGATACCGTGGATAGAGAAGGTTAGAAATGAAGAGGTATTAGAAAGAATAGGAGAGTAGGGGACTCTATGGAAGTCAATAAGAAATAGGCTAGATAAGTTGGCAGGACACCTTCTCAGACATGAAGGTCTAGTCACAGATATATTAGTGGCAGTAAATTGAGTTAGGAGGGGTAGAGGTAGAACTAGATTAGATTACTGTTCACAAATAGTTATGGATGTGGTTGTTCTAGTTTTGAGGAAATGCGAAGGTTAGCTGAGGATATAAAGGAGTAGAGATGCGTGTTCAACTAGTCTTGGGACTGACGACCTTATGATATTTCTTAAACCGGAATTTATTGATAAGGAATAATGTTAACAGTTTTAAACATCCTGGACCTAAATAAATTGTTTGACACTTACCTTTCTGTGTGTCCCTCTTTTAACCGTAAATCATAATATTTCAGCAATTCCTTTTTTGAATAAAATAAAAATAAGGGTCATACAAAAACGACAATTGGATTTTCCAGTTTTTATTAAAATAAACTTTAAATTCAAAATACTATAAACTACTTTAAGGAACATATTACATTGATTGAATTTATAAAGAAATTATTTAAACAGTTTTTACATGTTGCGCAAGTTATTAATAATTTCTAGGTCAAAAACAGAACAGAAAAATAAACTGTCATCGTCACAAATATGTATCTTAAATAGTTTAAAAATACAACTGAATAATTATATTTCTGATGTTTTTATTTTTATAATAATAACATCATTTTTTAATAACTAAAATTGCATTAGTTTATTTAATATCTTTAGAATGAAGGGGCTTATTTGAATTTTAAAAATTCCTTTAACTAATTCAGAACTTCTGAATAAATTACTTGTACTGGCAAGTTCGAAAAGTGTAAAATCCGGCTAATAATTGTTGATTATTTAATGACCAATCACAAACAAATACCATAACACGGGTTAGTAATAAATAAAACAAGATAAATAAAATTAACCGAGAATAAGGATTTGCTAAAAAATTTCATTTTCAAAAACCAGTTTGCACATCTCTAGTTGTATCATTTAGTTTTATATCATCTTAAAATTATGTTACAGTAGAAAAGACTATCGCTGAAGAAACAAAAAAAAAAAATAATGAACTCGTAGTAACCAGCTACTTAACGAATTACCAGATTTCGTGATGACTTCAATTTGACAAAAGGTATAGGTGTATACAACTACTGCTTTGAACATCTGCATCTTTTGTCTCGAGTTACCTCTACATGAAACCGTTTATGATTTATTGATTTATATTTGTAACTCGCAATGTCTATTGCAGTATAATTGGATAGGTAATTGATTAGCTCATTAATCCATTTATAATTTATTTATAACCCGTGTCAGTAGTACACCTGAAATGAGATCCAAACTAAATTCATCTTCTTGTCACTTGTCATCATCAATTGCTTATTATGTCTTAGAGATATTATCTTGATAGACTCTTCACCATTAACAAACTTAGATGGTAAAGTAATAACGTTTACATGTATGTATGTAGGTAGAGTATTTCAAGTACAGTAGCACCTTTGATTTTAAACATCTTTTAAATATACATCCTTATTTAAATAATAATAATCGATTTACAATGTAATATAAAAATTGACAAAATAATACACTTTCAACCCCCATAACTTTTTATGGGGGTGAGACCGCAATTTTTTTATGGGTTTTTACTCAGGTGACCACCCTCTTTCGATCCCCCCTAACCTCTTTCGGTCCCCCCTACCATCTAGACATTTACCAGATGACCGCACGCAACAAATAATAAAACTATTCTAGAATTGTTATATTGGTTTTTTTATTTACGGTTAGATGAAGGATTATGTCATTGCTGATTGGTTCACTTATGTATTTATTTTTTTGAAAACAATTAATTAATTTGGATGTTTGAGAGGTCTCAAAAATGAAGATTTTGTAATAATTTCCGTATGTATATCAGGTATAAGGGAGGAAGAACTTAAATATTTGAAAGCCAGAAAGTACTTGGACGCAATGTGCGTATACTTTTGGGCAACGACACCAGTATTAATTTCCATTTTAACTTTTGGAACGTACGTTTTATTGGGAAATGTTCTTACTGCTGCAACAGTTTTCACAAGCATGGCTCTTTTAAATATGTTGATTGGCCCTTTAAACAATTTTCCGTGGGTATTGAACGGACTCACCGAAGCGTGGGTGTCTGTTAAAAGAATACAAAGACTGTTTGATGTAAGTTGAATATTTAATTAATTCATTTAAGTGTGGCGATAAGGCTCCTACGTATCTAACTTCCCATCAAAAGTAGAGAAGATAAAAGTTTGCTTGGTGACAATGTTTTTCGGATTAAACAGTGGCGTTTGTTAACATTCACCGATGTAAAAAGAGAAAAAAAATTTACTTTTTTGGACTAAATATAAGGTTTGCTGATAATATTAGTAGTTACGACGTATGTTTGTACGTTGTAGTGGTAAAATAATAAAAGAACAGGATAATTCCTTGATGTAAATCACAATGTCGATCATTTTATATCTCATACTATGATTAGTAAGGCCATGCCTCACACTTAAAATACTTCAGTAAGCAGCAAATGTCGATAGATGGCGTGTAATGTCATTAATTGGATATTATTTATTTTCTTTTTCACTACATCTTTTTGAATAATCTGTGTGGGCAATCTAATGATAAAAGTTGTGATGTTTCTAAAAAGCCATCACATTATTCGAAAGTGTGTGGTTCTTCCTGAAAAAGCTTGATGCATGATTTTCACTTGTTTTTCTTTTCTTTTNTAACGCTTGTTTTCGACTCGCACTACTACTCATGATTGAACAAAACTTTTGGCAGGTACTATATGAAAAAGTATGTTTAATGAACAAGAGTCGAGAGTATAATGAGTTTTTTTCTCCGTACCTACGATTTTGCCAGCGCGCATCCAAGCCATTGAAAAGGGCACATCGCTACAGAAAGTAAATGAAGTATACACCTTACACTAATTGAAAAAAACACATAAACAATATTGCACAGTATTAATACAAAAAATGTTTGTACAAACAATTCTCACTAGCCCTTAACCTCGAAAAAAAAATAATAAATTAATTTTCTACTTTGCTACAAAATGTATATAAATTACATCTAAAAATATGTGTATATATGTATTGCACGAAATGAGGAAAATTATTATACTTATTATCTACTATGTAAAAAATGACTAAAATATTGCACACATATTTCAAAATATTGCACATTATCTGCCAAGTATTGCACGTGTCCCATAATGAAACTACTTTTAAGCAGTCGAAATTTACAAATTATACTTCTAATAGTCTTAACAGTACTAAAGTTAAATTAATTTAATAAATTAAATTGCATAAATAATAATAAATATCTATTATACCAGTGATGAAAATAATAGTAGAAAAAAGTACAAGGGGTTGTCAATAAAATACGTACGCGGAATGAAGCAATTGTCTAAGGTGATGATAACTGGCAATGAGGGGAATGGGTCGGAACAAATGTGACATTTAAAATACCTATATCTATTTTTCATTTTTTCAAACTGTAAATTTTACTTTTATTCTCGATAAAAAATAGTACCTTACGTAACGAGGTCTGAAAAGTGGATATTTCAGACTACGTGTGAGTTGCAAACACGTAGTCTGAAGTATCTACTTTTCAGACAGAGGTACGTATACTATTTTTTGTCATGTTTGTGCGAAAAGCTCGTCATTAAATTGATAGTTGGCGAAATAAGAGTAAATGATTTAGAGGTTAGGAAGACATTGTCATTGAACAACTGATTTCTGCGCATGCCCATAAACTTGAGCGCATGCGCTCAAAAGACTAATTTCATTTCCTCCCGACTAAAACACGACTGAAAAGAGACTATTTCTTCCCTATTTCATAGCATGCAAAACGAGCTTTCCGCGCTAACTTGACAAAATAGTTCTTTTCGCCTTCGGCTCGGATGGTAATTCACATGCAGTCTGAAATAACCTTGTTTCTTCCCTCGATTATTATTATTATTTGGATTATCATTACTGTTTTCACTAAAGGTCGTGCAGATTTTGTGACATACTATTAGGTAGGAGGCTGGAAAAATGATTAATTTTGCGTAACGTATTTTATGGATAGCCTAACTAAATATAAATAAATACACGACTATTTATATTGGATGACTAACAATAATCTAACAGACGAGTCGTAATCATTAGATAATGAAAATGTTACACGAGTAGAGCGATCAAAGAAAAGAAATCACAAGTAAGAATAATATATGTAATTGAGTTATGGCCAAAATTATTAATTTTTATTTATTAGCGTACCTACTAGGCAGTGACGAAGCATGATTTATAAACTTATCATTAAATCAGACGATAGGGTCACACATTAAAAAACAACATTCATCTAAGATTCTAAAATAGCAAGCTAGATGAAATTCCTTGGGAAAATTATTTTGAATTAACAAAAAACGAAAACTCAGTCAAATTTTTGACATCAAAAATTTTTCTTCATTTTATAAAACATTTAAAGGAATATATCAGACTTAAATAACCCTTAATGTCATTACTTGTAGAAGTCGTTACAATGAAGATAACCCATGATTGTTAGATCGTGCCGAGCTGGCATCGTTATATGCTACATCCATTTAATTTATTCATTGCGTTGGGCATGTAAATGAAGCTAAATTTAAAATTTTATGAAATAAAAACCACAAATATAAACAATTTATTAAACTGTTCTCTGTAACCGAACAACTTAAGTAGATGAAGAGCGGTCGCTTAAAGCGGTGTGTCATATATTTCGAGTTATCGTAAGGGAGATAGTATTTATGTAACATTTTACGATGAAATTAATTAAATTTGAATACTATGACGCAGTAAGCGATTGGTCCCTCTAAACAAGGTCGTTATAAGCGAATTCCTAGGTGTTTAACATAAAGTATTCACAAAATTTTAATTAGATCACCTACAAAGTATGAGTAAATTCAGTGAAAAGTATGAACAAATAGAAAATATCACAGTTTAAAATTGAGCAAACTAACATAACATAATAGTAAGCTTTCCATTAATTTATTGCACAAGTCAAATACCATCTTTTATCAATAAACTATTTACAAAGAAATTATCCTACCTTAAACATACGCAACTGTTCTGTCTACGCCACTGATACACGCCTCAGTCCCTCTGCAGTAGTTCGTGTAAAGCAGCAATGTACGTCTGCGCCATCTGCAACGTTTCGAACTTCGACAACTTCCTGTCGTTGCCCAGCGACGGCACTACGTCACGCAGTCTATCAAAAGCATCGTTTAAACTGTTCATGCGCCGTCGCTCTCGCGCGTTCGCGGCCAGTCGTCGCTTCTTCATAACTTCCAGGGCCGGCTGCTGTTGATTTTGACCTCGTTTCGATTCCTTTTTGCTTTTACCCTCACCGACGTAATTCGCTTTGTAGTATGAATCCTGACAGTAACCCTGCATATTAGGCAACGACTTGTACTTCGGGTCGTACTTGTCGCTGCTAGATCCGTACCTGTTCACACATTTACCGCTAACATCACCACAATTATTGTTATATTTAATATCGTAACCGTTACTACCGCAAGTCGTGTACGAAGGGGGTAAGTATTTGGGGCTACTGCTCCCGCACGAAATATATTTGGGACTACCTCCACCGCATGATGGATATTTGGGGCTACTACTCCCACATGATATGTATTTCGGGCTACTACCCCCGTACGACGAATATTTCGGGCTACTGCTACCGCGCGGACTCATGTATTTGGGGCTATCGCCGCAGTAAGTGGCATTGTTGCATGTGATTGTTTTGTAGTCATTATTGTTCTCTTCATAATAATTCGGAGTGTACGGCTGGCTAGATGGACCAGGACTGAGTGTTGCCAAGGTGTAATTGCTTTCAGGACTAGAGAGGCGTGGCGAATGACAGCTGTCCGACGATTGTTCTTTCGACATAGGTTCGAAATGGCGTTGAGTGCTCTTAACGTGCAGGTACCTTGAATTAAAATCTTTATGTTACGCCACTGTGTTGGGACTTAATTTTGCAATTCTGATCAGGAAAGCTAATGTATTTTTACAATATCTTTTTCTGATTAAAAAGTAAATTCCTACTTTCAACAGTCCAAGTTGAAAAGATATTTTAACCATCTGCCAATTTTAAGGCTGGTCTGATATGTGCACAAATTAAAAAAAAACGGTTAAAATCAGTTAATTGATCAAGAACTTGGAAGCATTTGAAGTACAGTAAAAGTTCCTTATTCACGGTTTCCTTATTCGCGTTTTCACTATTCACTGGTGAAAAAATTGTAATCCGCGGCTAAAAATTTCATTATTCGCAGATGCAATCGGTAAACAGAAAAAGATTCGATGTCATTTATTAAGGGGATTCCCCGCAATAGACCGCTCGAGCCTATTGTGAATTTTTCCAAAAACATGGGTTCCTATTCTCAACATTGTGGTTTAACGCTGCAAGATAAATATGTGATTTTTTTTGTATGGTAACAGACAAAGGTTTACACTAACTTGGTACGTTTTTGGTTTTTAATAATACGGTCATTAAAAGCTTTTACAAGTGCTTAAAGTTGATGCTTGTTGTAGGACACGTATTTTCAATAGAAATGAAAAACAAAAAAATGGCCTTCGACAGGCTTTAGAACAAAGCTCTATGTATCTTACTATAAAATTTCAAACCTCTGTTTCAAACATTAAACTCATGATATCTAGAACCGATAAGCATGTTTTTACTCTACGGCGCGTGTATTGCTGAATCCCCTTAATGTAGCGGCTTTTAGAAAAAATATAAGCGAGCAGAAAAGGATTCGGTGTTATTTTTGAACGTATCAGCATCGTTTGAGTACTACTGGCTGGTGCCGAGGTGACTTTTATAAATGATGTAACCGGGTGGACTAATTTCAAAATTCAAAACAAGAAAAAATCACTAAATTTCTTAAACTCTTGTCTACAGGTGATTATAGCGATTAATTTTAATTGCAAATTTATCAATACATTGATTTTATTTTGATACATATTGGTTTTATTTTGGAANTACGCAATGTATGAATAATAATGTTCGTGTGCAAAATGTGTAGGTAATATATTGGTAAATGCATATTATTATAGAATAGTAAAATAATATCTTTTATTTCTCTAGATTTAACGACCACTCTTTATAACGCCAAAAAATATTCAGTCCCTTAAGTGTCGTTATATAGAGTTTACACTGTATATGTTTTCTAAGAAATTCTGTGCTTTGAACATCTGAGTCAACATTACTAACATTAAGATTAGTGTCGAAGTGATTGTGAATTCCTATGAAGTGCTAAAAACTGTTTCTTTTTCAGACTTTTTGGATTCATGCAGAACATATTCATGACGAATACGTCACGTATGCTTATTGGCAGCAGCAAAATAATAATATGGTTTCTCCATGTAAGGTAAGAATTACAATATTTCATCAAATTATTCGTCACTGGTCGTTGATTGTATATTATTTTCGGATATTTGTTAATGAATTAAGTTTGCTTTTTGCTTAATTGTTTCACACTCAAAACAAACTGTCGTTAATCAAGAAACCACTTGGAAAATTTTTTTCTATTCTGGAAAATTCCGAACTTCGTTAAAGGTTAATTTTCTTTTCCCCTTATTTCATAAATCGTAGATTTTGCGACGCCATATTTTTACAAATTGATAAAGTTTTCGCGACCAGTAGATGAACTGATGTCCTGATTCGGGATAGAAGGACCTCTGAAGAAGCTCTCTACTCGTGTTAACGAAACGTTAGAAAACAATTCTAGCCGACGAGGCCTTAAAACCCAAATTGCGACATCAGTTCACCATATTTTTAGCTTAAACACGTGACATAATTTCATTTTTGAATTACAAGCGATGTCTCATAAAAAAATACGAGTCTGACTTTTAAGCGGCATTTCACATCTAACGTAAGATGAATCAATGAACAAAACATCTCCCGAGTTAATAAGTCCGGAGAAGTACCAAATATATCTGGGATTTGCAGCAGTGAATTATTGATTTTTATGGTCAAGGGAGATTCGTTCCTATAACCGAAAGTTTAGTGAGGTCATAATTTAAGGACGTCTATCCTAAATGATATGCTATTCACATTATGTGGGGTTCTATTCCACTTCTAGTTTAAAAGTTACTAGCTATGGTTCCATAAAGGCAGCTTTCGTTCGTAATTTAGGAAAAATGTCAGCTTGTTCTCAATATTCTGTGGTCGTTACACTGTGAAGTACCCAATCGAATTTTGATTAAAATAACTGTATAAGTACGTATTAAAATGCAACATCTGGCTGACTGTGTTTGAGGCGATTTTGATGCAGTTTTTTCTACACATTTTTCATCCTCTTCTTAAGGATTCAAACCACTATATGTCATTACTCTATGACAGATAGGAGCTAACGTTAGCAGCATAGAGAAATATAGCGTAAGCCATAACGATATCTTAGAATGGAATCGTTTAATCAATAGCCACTAGTCAACTAACTACCGTTAGAAATATCCAATTGCAATATGCGATAGAAGTGAAATAGATTTATAATTTTTTGCCAATTTAGAGCCCATATAAACGACATAATTTTGGACTTTATTCTAGTATGGTGGTGAACCTAGTTGGAAATGGTTCTAAAGTTCAAAATTGCCCTTAGATACGCGTAGATCACGATTTAGTTTTCATAACCCCAAACAAACCCAGCAAAATACTGGTCCTAAATATTAAATTACTATCCAATATCTATTTCTTCTTCCTTTAGAGAAGTTTTATTATACTAATCATCAAGTAACAAAAAAGTGTTCTATTATAGCAAACACCGATATTTTGCCTTTTAGTGTAAGGTTTTATCACAGTAAATTGCTATTAATTTTTACAATTATTTAAAAAATTATTGCTGCTGTTGCGCCCTCGTCGGGAATCGAACCCAGGTTCCTGGCTATATACGCACCATTGTTCTACAACTAAACTACGGAAAGTGACAGCGGTACTAACGACAGTAAGAACCAAACTTAGTAAGTCACCGAATCGTCGAATCAATGTATAATCATTATCAACGATGTAATACGTGGAAGATTTTTTTTTTGTAATGTTAATTTCATTATATTAAAGTGAATTAGTTTTTGTTACTACAAATTCAATTCAATACACATTAATTTTTTGTGAAACGAACACGCCAAGTCCAAAAATATACTCTCTAAATGTAAAACAATATGATACTAACCAACAGTATCTAATTAAAATTTGTTCGGGAAACACGGCATAATAATATAAATTGTTTTAACACATTTTTAATTAAACACTCTCAATACGTCAAAAGATTGGTGACCTTTAAGAAACGTCTTAACAATCAAGTAATTCTGCATACAATTTTGTCTCATGAGAGTCTCACAAACTGATTCTACTTAAGCTAAAACCTTATATACGGAGAACATTATACAGAAAAGGCCAAAAGTTCACTGAATATATTAATTACACATTTCTTTATCGAATTTTTTTTGTCTTTATGGCACACAAGTGAAGATGCATAGTTTGGTAAATCTAAAAATCTAAAAATATCACGTGCTTCCTCGAAGACTAACCTAACCTAGGCGAACTCTCAAAATCGTTTAAACGAAACACCGCTCAAAAGCCTACAGTTTCCTTTATTGGACTTATTTATATGAAAAGATAGTTGAAGGTATTTGTTAGGAATTCCTATATCACGTCGCCTTTTTTTTTTTTAAAGATGTCTCCTTTGGATGCATTCTCGCAACTCGCCACTAGCGTATAGTATAGAATTCGTTTTACAATGATGTACCGGGGCCCGCTATGTTGGTTTAAATGTAAAGTAAAAAGATAATTATTTATAGTTTTGAATAGCTAATGCATAGATTTATTAATTGATTTACGTCTATTTTCTACGTCCTACCTATTTATAAAAATAAATATCATAATTTTTGCGATTCCTTTTCGGCTACAACTATCTATAACGGTTCCATTCTAAAAAACTCGTGATTCTGTTTTAGATAAAAAAAATTTTGCTTTATTATTACTGGAAAGCTTTAAATTGGTATTTTTAGACACTTAGCAAGTTATTTATTTTACATCATGCTATCTTCTTGTCGGACTTCTTAAGAACCTGAAATATACTTTTTTTTATTAAAAGGTTATTTTATGCGTCTAGGTTGAGCGTTTCTTTCACCAAAGCACATAAAATATTTCACTAATACATAATTATTCCTACAGAAGAATAAAATTCGTCTTGTATAAAGTGTCTAGAAATCTTTGAATTTGAATGATTCCACAGACATTCACCGTTCTAAGAAATACTATTTTTTTTGCTTTAATTAAAAAGTATAGATATTTACAAAATTAAAGTTGTAAACATATATTGAAATGAACAAAAATTATTAATAATGTAAAATAAAAACAAACCAACAAAATTACATGATTTTATCTTGTCCTAGATGCGTGTAATGAATATAAATTGTTGTATTTGTTCTTTTACAGTAAAAAGATTAGGTTTTATACTTGTTTTAAATATATATATATATAATTTAAAAAATATATTTCGAAGTAGAAGTAGTTGGGTTATAAAGCAG